CTCTCTCTCTCTCTCTCTCTCTCTCTCTCTCTCTCTCTCTCTCTCTCTCTCGGCTTACATTTTCTGTATCTTATGATAATATGTGTTTGTTTATAGATATAATTATCATATTTAATGTGTCACTTTCTCTTCCCGTGGGTGGTTGGTGGGTGCTCTGCCCGGTGTGGTTTGTTTCTTCTAACCTATAAAAAATCTATCATCCTTATCCCCCCTTCTTCTTTTTTATGTTTGTTGCTCTCTTGTGACACCTCTAATCTTCTGGCGCTTATATGACCTTATGCAGTTGCTAGCGCTGTAAAACCTCTACTAAAACTAAAACTTTCTTTTCCCCCTTATCTCACTCTCCGTCCCTGTTATTCTGCAGGGATCTTGTATTCCTTTCATCCCGGGTTGGCCATCACAGGCAGGGTCCGTGGCCCGCCTCCCAACTGATCTAAATTGTGTTTATGTGGGTTTAAGAAATCATCATCATCATCATCCGGTGCCTTGCCGACTGGCGTGGGCGATCATGGACCTCCACTTCCATCTGTCTTGTGTTGCAGCAATGGTGTCTGTTGTTCTTGCTGCTCCCAGCCATGTTGTCAACTTGTCCAGTATCTTTTTCCTTCTGTCTGCCTCTTCCTCTCTTTCCATCAAACTTGCCTGTTGTTGTTTTGCTATATTCCCCGCTGCTTCTTTCCGTATGTGTGTATGTATGTGTGTGTGGTGCATGCGTGAGTGAATATGTGTTTGCACGAGTATGTAACACTATGTACCTTTAAGATTGATTTGTAAATCCATAATATGTATCATGTTAAGCACATAGAGCATCGCATAAGTGGATATGCGCTATATAAATGCAATCCATTATTATTATTATTATTATTGTGTGTCCAATGAAAGTTTAAGAAATACATACATGTAAAATTAATTTATTTTAAAAAAATTTCTATTGGGTGGTTGATAGGTGCTCTGGTGTGGTTTGCTCCTTCTTTCCTTTTGTCACATATCTATTGTCCTCATCTCTCCTCCTTCTTTTTTATGTTTGTTGCTCTCTTGTAACACCTTTAATCTAAGGCACTTATATAACCTTATTGTGTTGAAAGTGCTGTAAAACAAAATCAAATGTATCGTGATGCAAGCAGTGGTATCGGACGCTCTTTCTTTCTTTCTGTCTTTCTCTGTGTCTCTTTCTCTCCTGGCTTGCTCTCTCTCTGTCTTGTCTCTCTCTCTCTCTCTCTCTCTCTCTCTCTCTCTCTCTCTCTCTCTCTCTGGGCATGTGGAGTTATTTGTATCATCTTAAAGGTTATTTATTTGCTTTGCTTTCGATGAAGAAAATATCCTTGATATCATAGAAGTCGAGATATTTGCGATTGATGGAGGTAGCGTCGCCTGGTTTCAGAAGTAAAATTATTGAGAATATGGCCCCCATAGTTTGGTGACTTCCGTAGCGTAAGAGACTTTGGAAGCTGCAAATCTACATTTTTTGTGTCTTTAATCAACCTTTGTCCATAAAATCCACATGTAAAAATGTTTGTGATTGGACATACAAGATGTTGAGCCAAAAAACAAAATTGGAAAGAAATGTCAGAACTGGCCGAAAAATTCTGATTTCTCCGATTTCATTATTTTGACGAGCGCCTGATTTCACCACGATGCCTCACAAATTTCTTAAGTGAAATGTTTTTTGTGATCTCTCTCCCCGTAGGTTCAGGTAAACAGACAGAAGATGGACGTGCAAAATCTGCGCACAAATATACGGGTGATCGACAAAGACGTGCCTCGCACAGACCGCGATGTGCTGTTTTTCAGGTTTGTTGAGTGGGGTTTTTGATAGAGTTTTACAACACATGCCTCTCTCTCTTTTTCTCTCTCTCTTTTTCTCTCTCTCTCTCTCTCTCTCTCTCTCTCTCTCTCTTTTGAAAATATTTATTCTTTCAAATGTGTGATCTGTCTGTCTGCCTGCCTGTCTGTCTGTCTGTCTGTGTGTCTGTCTGTCTGTCTGTCTGTCTGTCTGTCTGTCTGTCTGTCTGTCTGTCTGTCTTTCTCTCTCTCTCTCTCTCTCTCTCTCTCTCTCTCTCTCTCTGTCTCTCTCTCTCTCTCTCCCTCTCTCTCTCCCTCCCTCCCTCCCTTCATCCCATCCATCCATCCTTCCATCTATCCATCCATCCATCCATCCATCCTTCCATCCATCCATCCCTCCCTCCCTCCCTCCATCTATCCATCTATCTCTTTCTCTCTCTAGCCATCTGTCTGTCTGTGCACTTTAGAATTTTATATTATGACCTGTTTGTGTGCTCACCCTGGTTTATTTTGCAAGTGCTGTAAAACTCCTACATAAAACCCAATCTGAAATATCTTCTCAGCGGCCGAAACAATCCCCACTTGCGAGAGCTGCGAGACATCCTGGTCACGTTTGCCGCCTACAACGGTGAGCTGGGGTACGCTCAGGGCATGAACGATATCTTGTCGCGGTTCCTCTACGTCATGGGGTCAGAGGTGAGTGAGGCGAGGTGCTTGGGGTTTGGTTTGGTTTGATAGAGGGTTTACGACATTTGCAACACATTTACGTCATATATTGATTTGGTTTGATAGAGGTTTATCAAGTTTATCACATTTGCAACATATTTATGTCACATATTGGTTGGGTTTGATAAAGGTTTATCAAGTTTATGACATTTGCAAAACATTTACGTCATGTATTGGTTTGGTTTGATAGAGGTTTACGACGTTTGCAACACATTTATGTCACATATTGGTTTGGTTTGATAGAAGTTTATCAAGTTTATGACATTTGCAACACATTCACGTCATATATTGGCTCCTTCTTACTGCTGTCTTTCAGCCACACCCCTGATCTTATGGTAGGTAAGATTTACACCTAGCCTTCTCCGACAAGGGCGAGAAATCTCAGAGGTCCCGTGTTCAAGTTGCACATGTTAAAGATCCCTTGGTGGTCCAAGAATCGATAAAAGTGGGCTTCGGTTGCCACCTGAGCAAAATTCTAAATTTCCTACCAACTGAAAATATTTGGTGTGTCCTGCATGCACATATGACCTTACACGGTTGAGAGCACAGTAAAACACACCAAAAAAAACCCCAAAACACCCACTACTTTTTGTCATTTCCCCCCAAATGTGAATGGGTACTCAGCGCTTGTCAGTAAGTTCGTGTTTTAACACCTATAAAATGGCAGCTCACACTGTATGCTTCCCAGGAAGTTGAGTTTATTCAGAATGCTATCAGGTCTGCTGTGGTAATAATAAAGGTTGGAAAGCATATAGAACTAGTTATTAAGCTGGAATTCTCAGTACACAAATCTACCATTATTTTTGAATTTCAGAGTATATGTATGCACAGTTTTTTTTGCAATTTTACAGGAGAGCCAAAAAACTGATTGTCATTACCAAGTAAACAACGTTTGCTTTAAAAACAATTAGGATATAATTATCAAAATTGTATTCCCTTAAAAATATTAACTTGGGATGTTCTCAAAGAGTTAATTTTTTTGTTAACAACCTCCAGTTTTTTTCCTCTCATGTAATATTGTAAAAACTGCAATTATACTGTATTTTTTAAACGGACGGCAGAAAATGCTACGTATTATACTATCTCCCTCTTCTTTTCTCTCACTCCCAAGGTGGAGACGTACTGGTGTTTCCGTACGTATATGGAAAAGATCGGCTCTGACTTCATGGAGGAGGGTATGACGTACAAGATTGGTGAGTTTTCTTTTGTATAACTCCATATGTTTTTTGTCTTTTTTGGGCATTTTTCGTTCTTTGGGATTTTTTGGCATTTTTTGTTTTGTTTTGTTTTGATACGTTTTTGTTTCCTTTTTATATTTTGATTGCTGTTGGTTTTTTTGGGGTTTTTTTAATAAATGATTTAGTAGAGTAAATAAAAGTTATTATTTGAAAGGGGAGGTGGGGATGGGGCCTGTAGGCAGTATTTGAAGTGTTATTCTTTGCTTTGCTTTTTTACTATTATTTCTGCCCTTCCAGCCCCATGCGTGTACATTTTCAGCAGCGCTTGCACCTCCCACTGTCCCAAGAGTGTATATTCTCAGTTTCGGGGGTTACTGAATTTGTGCATTTTTCAAAATTAACTAACCAAATTAAACTCTAATTTTCATAATATTTGTTCATTTACCTTTAAACATTTTTATATTTTTTCATCTAAACATCATAATAAAGATACTGCATCACTTTTTAGAATGCATGCCCCTATTTCTGAAATACTGCTGTATTGGCTGGGATTGGGTTTAGGAAGTGCTCAAAAATGGCTAGGGCTGGAAGGGTTTACTATCATTTTAACTCCTTATTTCTTGCAAGCTGCTCCCAACGGCTCGTGGTCGGAACCCTCTGTGCCGGTGAGCTGATAAGCCGCTTCCATCGTCGGCTCGGGCACATTCCTTGACGACAACTTCGATGTCAAATGAGTTTTTGTCAATTGCCGAAAACAGGTCTCTCGTACCAGGAGTGAATTCATTATATGAAGAACTATCAAAATAGTTTCACTTGATTAGATTAAATGAGTATGCTACTCTTTTGAAACACCTCTATTCTTTGGCAGTTATGACTTATATGCCCTTATTGTGTTGGAAGTGCTGTAAAACACTTAATAATGTAAAAGCAAGTACCATAAAACTTTTACTGAAACAAAGTTGTGTTTTATTTTTTTTCTCTTGTGCAGATTTGGTGCGTATGTTATTGGAGGAGATGGACCCAGCTCTGCTGAAACACCTGGAGACTACTGACCTGGGCAACTTGTTCTTTTGTCACAGGTGTGTGTGTGTGTGTGTGTGTGTGTGTGTGTGTGTGTGTGTATGTTATTGGAGGAGATGGACCCAGCTCTGCTGAAACACCTGGAGACTACTGACCTGGGCAATTTGTTCTTTTGTCAGAGGTGTGTGTGTGTGTGTGTGTGTGCGTGTGTGTGTGTGTGTTTGGAGGAGATGGATCCAGCTCTGCTGAAACACCTGGACACTACCAACCTGGGCAACTTGTTCTTTTGTCACAGGTGTGTGTGTGTGTGTGTGTGTGTGTGTGTGTGTGTGTGTGTATGTTATTGGAGGAGATGGACCCAGCTCTGCTGAAACACCTGGAG